CACTGTCAGGTCATTGACAGATGATATGGCTCTCAACATTTAAGATCAAGTGATTGCCAAGAAAAAAATCATCAAAGATCTTTACCATTCAGTTAGATGAGACAACTGACATGACAAATCTTTCTCAGCTTTGTTTAATCGGCCATTGACCACAACATGAGGAGAAGATGTGAAGGAAATCATTTTAGCTTTTTGATAAAAAACGTAATCGGAGTGTGTAGAGACGGTCTCACGGCAAATATGTAGCCTCTTGGCACTTGATAAACGAAAAATCCCACAGTGGTTGGGATCCAGTGCATGATTCACAGAGAAGCACTTGCTTCAAAGACACTACCAGCAGCCCTGCTTGGTCACTTGGAGACCATCATCAAAAGGGGTCATTTCATCAACGTGTCCGACCCGAATATGTACCTTTTCAGGGTACATATACACCAAATTCTGTTGTGCCACACTCAAGTCCCTAAGTTGTCATAGGGCAACATTCCCATTTGGTTCTTTGAGCTTAATGAAGAAGTAAAGACTCCCAAACAATCACTTTAAAAACATACTATTCACGAAGATAAATAAATCAGAACTTCAGGCTCAATTAGCGTTCTTGGCAGACATCCTCGAAGATCTAAATTAGATAAATAGAAACTGCAGGATCGTTAGAGCAGCGTCATCCTCCATGCAGACAATATCAATGCAGACAATATCAATGCATACATTATTAAAACTGCAGCTCTTGGGAATTCAGAGTCAAGAGGGAAGTGCAACCCAATTTCACTAACTTTCTGAAGTTAACAGAGATGTCATCAACCAAATACTTACGTTAGAAATCACAGAGCACCTTAACTCAATCACTGATGAGTTCCAGCGATGCTTTCCAGACAGGCATACTAACCAAATTCACAGACTACGTCTGTACAGAGTTCCAGGAAGAGTTGAAAATGTCTCATTAATCCTGGAAGCTCTTTGTGTGTTGATCACACTTCAACATGTCTGTGTGAGAGTCTAAACAACCTCCTGGTTGAGTGTGATCGAAGATGCAGAGATCACAGTGAGTTGTGTCAGTCAGATACATATCCAGTGCAGGAAACAATACTAATTAAGATCCGTTTTCAAAGGGGATAAGCCAGTGGGAGGCCTCTGTCAGAACACCGAAAACTCTAGTGGTGGGTCATCATATGACTAAGACCCCTCGTCAGGAAGCACTTGTCTTGTTTCCTGACAAATCTTACCTAACCTAACTATTGCAACAAAGGTGCTGACACAGGAGCTTTAATTTTATTCTGAGTTAATTCTCATTTTCTTAGTCATATATTTGTTTCATATTCGTTTGGATGTTATTATTCGGTAATATAATCGTATTTGTCATTTTCTTTTAAATTTAGCTTTGAGTAAATATATGAAAACACGATGGTAAAGAGTAAAGTTCCAGCGGGAGGGAAAGCATTATAGATTTTCTGGCGAAAGTGTGGAATGACCTGGAAAACGTTGGGAGCATCTGATATAGACCGTCTCTGATTGTGGCTTCCGTGCCATAACTTCAGGAACTCTTCCGATCGATTTCAAGATTTCAGCACGTCTATATGCTTCTTAGAGAAAAAAGGTTCAGTTTGTTTGAATAGTATGTTCAAATTTATCAGTTCTATTTTTAAAGGATTGATATATATTCTATCTTTCAACACACCGGCCGTATCCCACCGAGGCAGGGTGGCCCAAAAGAAAAAACGAAAGTTTCTCCTTTCACATTTAGTAATATATACAGGAGAAGAGGTTACTAGTCCCTTGCTCCTGGCATTTTAGTCGCCTCTTACAACACGCATGGCTTACGGAGGAAGAATTCTGTTCCACTTCCCCATGGAGATAAGAGGAAATAAACAAGAATAAGAACTAGAAAGAAAATAGAAGAAAACCCAGAGGGGTGTGTATATATATGCTTGTACATGCATCTGTAGTGTGACCTAAGTGTAAGTAGAAGTAGCAAGACGTACCTGAAATCTTGCATGTTCATGAGACAGAAAAAGGGCACCGGCAATCAAACCATCATGTAAAACAATTACAGGCTTTCGTTTTACACTCACTTGGCAGGACGGTAGTACCTCCCTGGGCGGTTGCTGTCTACCAACCTACTACCTAGGATTTATATATTATATATATATATATATATTATATATATATATATATATATATATATATATATATATATATACCTAAAGTCAGTGCCGGATCAGCCGGGCTGTGGCTCGTACGTTGGACTGCGTGCGGCCAGCAGTAACAGCCTAGTTGATCAGGCCCTGATCCATCGGGAGGCCTGGTCATGGAACGGGCCGCGGGGGCGTTGACCCCCGGAACAACCTCCAAGTAACCTCCAGGTATATATATATATATATATATATATATATAGTGCCGAATAGGTAAAACTTTCGATTTTGGCTTAAATAGCAAAGCTCTTCTTGCCGAATAAGGCAAGCGAGAATTTGTGTATGCAATAATTTTACAAAAATCATTCTGAACCTAACGAAAAAAAATATATTTCATTGTGTTTGTTTATTATTAAATTTTAAACTTATCTAAAATGTATTTAGGTTAAATTAAATTGTGCTTGTTATGATAAGGTTAGGTAAGTTTTCTAAGGTTCTTTTGGAACAAAATTATTAAGTTTTACATTAACATAAAGGAAAAAATAAATCTTTGCACGTATAAGAGAAAATTTTAGAAAGGACTTAATTTTAAATGAGTTCTTGCTAATTGACCAGCTTTACCTATTCGGCACGACATTCACACACACACACACACACACACACACACACACACACACACACACACACACACACACACACACACAGAAAGTACAAAGGTTTGCAACAAGGCTAGTCCCAGAGCTCAGGGGAATGTCGTACGAGGAAAGGTTGAGGGAGATCGGGCTGACGACACTGGAGGACAGAAGGGTCAGGGGTGACATGATAACGACATACAAGATACTGCGGGGAATAGACAAGGTGGACAGAGATAGGATGTTCCAGAGAGGGGACACAGGGACAAGGGGTCACAACTTGAAGCTGAAGACTCAGACGAGTCACAGGGACGTTAGGAAGTATTTCTTCAGTCATAGAGTTGTCAGGAAGTGGAACAGCCTAGCAAGTGACGTAGTGGAGGCAGGAACCATACATAGTTTTAAGAAGAGGTATGATACAGCTCAGGAAGCAGAGAGAGAGTAGCGATCAGTGAAGAGGCGGGGCCAGGAGCTGAGTCTCGACCCCTGCAACCACAATTAGGTGAGTACAATTAGGTGAGTACACAGCACACACACACACACACACACACACACACACACACACACACACACACACACACACACACACACACACACACACATACATATATATATATCATGTTCACATGCACTTACCTACATGTACTCAACTATGTGTGGTTGCCGGGGTCGAGTCTTAGCTCCTGGCGTATGAAAACCCGTGTACATACATTCATATTCGTCCATGTATGCATGTGCGAATGTGTGTATACATATGCTCCGGCGTGATATATGTGTACTTACATACTCATACATTTGTGTACGTCTGCACAGGTAAACATGTCAGTGTATAAACTGAAGTTATATAAGATTATACTGGATAATCATTAAGTGATGTTGACTTAAAATTCCCGTAGAATTAGCTTTAAAATACGTCGATGTTCTGTTTGTCTAAACAGAAATTAGTTTTTCCAAGGTGTTTATTCTCCCTTTCACATCATGGAAACCATAGTAAATGTTTATGAAACTCATACAAGTTACTCTCCCTTGAAAAGATGCGTGTCTTACCATACCATTGTACCAAATATTTAAAATTTTGCCTAGCATTAAATATTCTAGGTTTAGTGAATGTGTTCGTACCTTTGATCAAGGGAACCGCGTAAAACATTATTATATATTTGTCTATGTTTTAAACCTGTGTTTATTTATCGGTATAATAGTTCACTTTCTTAGTTATTTAATGTACGTATTAGATGATGTTATATATGATGTAAATGTTGGGGTGATGAGGAGAGGTGTGAGATTAAAGAATAATGAATCCGATACAAAGTTGGAGTTGTTACAGTTGCATTTTGCTGATGACGCGGTGCTTTTGGGAGATTCTGTAGAAAAATGGCAAAAGTTGGTAGACAAGCTCTGGAGGGTTACGTAAAATAATGAAATTAAGAAAAAACACAGAAAAGAGTAAGGAAATGAGAGTAACAAAATAGATTAGGCAATGAAAAATTGGAAATTAGATTGAAGGGAGGGAGTATAGAGGAAGTGTATGTGTTTAGATATTTGAGAATGGACTTGCGGAGAGAGAAAGATTAAAGTGCCATAGTACAGTGGTATCTACACCTTTGTATGGACAAAAGCATGGGCTTTAAACGTTGCAGCGACGAAGTTGAAGGCAGCCGGACCATGATGTTTGGGAGGAATTCGAGGTGAGAATATTATGCAAAGTATGTGTAGACATTAGATTACCGTGTGGGTTTGCAAATAGTATTACTAAGAGGGTAAAAAAAAAGGTTGCTGAGGTGGTTTGGGATTTTATAGATACTACAGCTACATAGGATGATCAAGACAATGGATAAATCCAAGGTGAAGCAAAGGAGGGAACGGTTGGAGGGATGATGTGAAGAAGGTTTAAAGTGTCATGGGCTTGAGCATCCAGCAGGCATGAGTGTCTAAGATCGGGAAGAGTAAAGACAAGTGCTGTTGGAGTTTAAGCAAGGTAACACTTAGGGGATTCGAGGAAACTGGTGAGCAGGACTTAAGTCCTGGAAGTTTGAAAGACTGGGCTGCACTCTGGGGATGATGGTGAATGTTGCCTTTTTGTTTTATTCACTGTGTCATGGTAGAAGAATACAAATGTTGTAAATAATAATAATAATAATAATAATAATAATAATAATAATAATAATAATAACGTAAATAATAATATATTAAAATAGTAATAATAAGCATTTCTAATGCCCCGTTGAATGCATGGTCTTGCCAGGTACAGTGTTGAGGTGTCTGAGGAGGCTGGCGTGGAGGATGGTAGCAGCAAAGTCCGGGCTGAGGTGAGGGTGACTAACGTAGCACCTGATGACTCTGCTGTCATCGCATGCACCGCTACGAACACCTACGGCAGCCACACACATCACATGCAACTCAAGGTCCAAGGTTCGAGTCCCATAACTACCTGCTGACCTGACTGCATTGATCTGTAGGATGCGGATATTAGTGACCATCTTTGAGTTTATTTAATCAATCCGTAGATAGGTACAGGTAGGGAGCGTGTCTGTCATACGATTTGTAAATGGAGGTTCGACCCTTAATAATTCTTGACCTGAAGGACCCACAATAGTTTAAAGCATTACATAAATGATTTAGATATAGAATAAATGGATATCACATTAGAGAGAGGGAGTATGGAAGAAGTGAATGTTTTTAGATATTTGGGAGTTGACTTGTCAGCGGATGGGTTTATGAAGGATGAGGTTAATCATAGAATTGATGAAGGAAAAAAAGCGAGTGGTGGGTTGAGGTATATGTGGAGACCAAAAAAAACATTATATATAGAGGCAAAGAAGGAAACGTATGAAAGTATAGTAGTACCAACACTCTTATATGGGTGTGAAGCTTGGGTTGTAAATGCTGCAGCGAGGAGGCGGCTGGAGGCGGAGATGTCCTGTGTAAGGGTAATGTGTGGTGTAAATGTTTTGCGGAAAATTCGGAGTGTGGAAATTAGGAGAAGGTGTGGAGTTAATAACAGTATTAGTCAGAGGGCTGAAGAGGGTTTGTTGAGGTGGTTTCGTCATTTAGAGAGAATGGATCAAAGTAGAATGACATGGAGAGCGTATAAATCTGTAGGGGAAGGAAGGCGGGGTACGGGTCGCCTTCGAAAAGGGTGGAGTGAGAAGGTAAAGAAGGTTTAGTGGACCAGGGGCTTGAACTTCCAGCAAGCATGTGTGAGCGTGTTAGATAGGAGTGAATGGAGGCGAATGGTTTTTGGGACCTGACATGCTGTTGGAATGTGAGCAGGGTAATATTTTGTGAAGAGATTCAAGGAAACCGGTTAGCCGGACTTAATTCCTGGAAATGTGAAGTACAATGCCTGCACTTTAAGGAGGGGTTTGGGATATTGGCAGTTTGGAGGGACTTCTAAACTGTCGTATCTCAACGCCTCTGCAAAGACAGTGATTATGTATGAGTAGTGGTGAAAGTGTTGAATGATAAAAGTTTTTTTCGTTCTTTTTGGGTCACCCTGCCTCGGTGGGAAACGGCCGAGATATATATATATATATATATATATATATATATATATATATATATATATATATATATATATATATATATATATATATATATATATATATATATATATATATATATGTGTGTGTGTGTGTGTGTGTAACTTAATAACTAGCCATTAATTAATAAATTATCAGTAATTCTTTACATATTAGAATTAATTACTTGCAGTAAATGAATGTATTCAACTTGGCTGTAGTTAATAATATAAATCGTAGAGATAGTATCATAATTTGACTGTTGACCTGGAATCTCACCTCAGACGTGCCGGACGCTCCTCGTGACCTGCGGGTGACCCGGGAAGGCAGCAGGTCAACCACAGTGACCTGGGCACCCCCACCCTCTCCCAACACACCCATTATACATTATATAATCCACCTGAAGACGCATACAGGTGAGTAACAACCATCTCATGGGACAACCTTCCACTTTGTGTGCACCTCCATCAAAACTTTGTGTACAACTGTGTCAGTGTTCTCTGTACAACCATGTCAAAGGTGTAAGTGTAGCAAAGGGTCTTATGAAGCTTAATCTTCAATCTTGTTAGCAGTACGATAATCGTGATGCTCAGCTTGATGAAAGCTTGAGTTGCTCTATGTCCAGAAATAGTATAGTCTGGAAATATTGATCAATTATTATTATTAGTAGTAGTAATAGTGGTGGTAGTAGTTGTGGTAATAGTAATAGTACCAGTAGTAGTAGTGGTAGTAGAAGTAGTGGTAGTAGTAGCAGTAGTAGTAGTAGTAGTTGTGGTAGTAGTAGTAATAGTAGTGGTAATAGTAATAGTGGTAGTAGTAGTAGTAGTGGTAGTATAGTAGTAGTAGTAGTTGTTGTGGTAGTATAGTAGTAGTAGTTGTGGTAGTAGTAGTAGTGGTAGTAGTGGTAATAGTAATAGTGGTAGTAGTAGTAGTGGTAGTATAGTAGTAGTAGTTGTTGTGGTAGTAGTAGTAGTAGTTGTGATAGTATTAGTGGTAGTAGTCATAGTGGTAGTAGTGGAATATCCTCTGGTAGCGCCTTGGGAATGTTAAGTAATCAAATTTGATCCGAGGATTAGGAGGAGAATAGCTTTAATGATGGCATCAACATTCACCTTTATCATTGACATTCAACCCATCCTCCTAGGAATAATAATAATAATAATAATAATAATAATAATAATAATAATAATAATAATAGTGATAATAATAGTGATAATAATAATAATAATAATAGGAGAGGAGAGTTATTAAATGGAGAGGTAGAGGTATTGGGAAGATGGAAGGAATATTTTGAGGAATTGTTAAATGTTGATGAAGATAGGGAAGCTGTGATTTCGTGTATAGGGCAAGGAGGAATAACATCTTGTAGGAGTGAGGAAGAGCCAGTTGTGAGTGTGGGGGAAGTTCGTGAGGCAGTAGGTAAAATGAAAGGGGGTAAGGCAGCCGGGATTGATGGGATAAAGTTAGAAATGTTAAAAGCAGGTGGGGATATAGTTTTGGAGTGGTTGGTGCAATTATTTAATAAATGTATGGAAGAGGGTAAGGTACCTAGGGATTGGCAGAGAGCATGCATAGTTCCTTTGTATAAAGGCAAAGGGGATAAAAGAGAGTGCAAAAATTATAGGGGGATAAGTCTGTTGAGTGTACCTGGTAAAGTGTATGGTAGAGTTATAATTGAAAGAATTAAGAGTAAGACGGAGAATAGGATAGCAGATGAACAAGGAGGCTTTAGGAAAGGTAGGGGGTGTGTGGACCAGGTGTTTACAGTGAAACATATAAGTGAACAGTATTTAGATAAGGCTAAAGAGGTCTTTGTGGCATTTATGGATTTGGAAAAGGCGTATGACAGGGTGGATAGGGGGGCAATGTGGCAGATGTTGCAAGTGTATGGTGTAGGAGGTAGGTTACTGAAAGCAGTGAAGAGTTTTTACGAGGATAGTGAGGCTCAAGTTAGAGTATGTAGGAAAGAGGGAAATTTTTTCCCAGTAAAAGTAGGCCTTAGACAAGGATGTGTGATGTCACCGTGGTTGTTTAATATATTTATAGATGGGGTTGTAAGAGAAGTAAATGCGAGGGTCTTGGCAAGAGGCGTGGAGTTAAAAGATAAAGAATCACACACAAAGTGGGAGTTGTCACAGCTGCTCTTTGCCGATGACACTGTGCTCTAGGGAGATTCTGAAGAGAAGTTGCAGAGATTGGTGGATGAATTTGGTAGGGTGTGCAAAAGAAGAAAATTAAAGGTGAATACAGGAAAGAGTAAGGTTATGAGGATAACAAAAAGATTAGGTGATGAAAGATTGAATATCAGATTGGAGGGAGAGAGTATGGAGGAGGTGAACGTATTCTGATATTTGGGAGTGGACGTGTCAGCGGATGGGTCTATGAAAGATGAGGTGAATCATAGAATTGATGAGGGAAAAAGAGTGAGTGGTGCACTTAGGAGTCTGTGGAGACAAAGAACTTTGTCCTTGGAGGCAAAGAGGGGAATGTATGAGAGTATAGTTTTACCAACGCTCTTATATGGGTGTGAAGCGTGGGTGATGAATGTTGCAGCGAGGAGAAGGCTGGAGGCAGTGGAGATGTCATGTCTGAGGGCAATGTGTGGTGTGAATATAATGCAGAGAATTCGTAGTTTGGAAGTTAGGAGGAGGTGCGGGATTACCAAAACTGTTGTCCAGAGGGCTGAGGAAGGGTTGTTGAGGTGGTTCGGACATGTAGAGAGAATGGAGCGAAACAGAATGACTTCAAGAGTGTATCAGTCTGTAGTGGAAGGAAGGCGGGGTAGGGGTCGGCCTAGGAAGGGTTGGAGGGAGGGGGTAAAGGAGGTTTTGTGTGCGAGGGGCTTGGACTTCCAGCAGGCATGCGTGAGCGTGTTTGATAGGAGTGAATGGAGACAAATGGTTTTTAATACTTGACGTGCTGTTGGAGTGTGAGCAAAGTAACATTTATGAAGGGATTCAGGGAAACCGGCAGGCCGGACTTGAGTCCTGGAGATGGGAAGTACAGTGCCTGCACTCTGAAGGAGGGGTGTTAATGTTGCAGTTTAAAAACTGTAGTGTAAAGCACCCTTCTGGCAAGACAGTGATGGAGTGAATGATGGTGAAAGTTTTTCTTTTTCGGGCCACCCTGCCTTGGTGGGAATCGGCCGGTGTGATAATAATAAATAAATAATAATAATAATAATAATAATAATAATAGTGATAATCTTAATTTCTACAACTACATGATGCAACTTAAACATACCATAGCTGACACCAATGACATACTATTTAGAATGCCCCTGGTAACGCAAAGCATTTCGGGCAAATTAGGTTAAATTTTTCATCAGGACGCGACCCACACCAGTCGGCTAAAACCCAAGTACCTATTTACTGCTAGGGGAACAAGGACAGCAGGTGTCCTAAGGAAACACGTCGTAATTTTTCCATCCGTACCAGAGATCGAGCCACGGACCTCAATGTGCAAACTGAGTGCTCTACTAACCGAGCTACGGATACCTAAATAAGAATCCTTCGATAACATGAAGGCACCTACCATGACTATTGTTGAGTCATTAAAACGGTATCCTCCAGTGTCCCTTTAACCTGGTCTCGTGAACTTCAGTGATCCTAGACAGGTATTCCCAGTATACCCCGGACCCCTGAACTTCAATGATCTTAGACAGGTATTCCCGGTATCCCTTTATTCCAGTCCCCTGAACTTCAGTGATCCTAGACAGGTATTTCCAGTATCCCTTTAGCCCCGGTCCCCTGAACCTCAGTGATGCTTGATGGTATCCCCAGTATCCCATTACCCTGACTAGTAAACCCAGTACTCCTCACAACCTACTAGAGCACAACCTAGTCAACTCACAGCACTCACAGCCTACTAGAACATGAATAATCAACTCAGCAGCACTCATAGCCTACTAGAACACGAGTAGTCAACTCACCAGCACTCACAGCCTACTATACCACAAGCTACTCAACTCACCAGCCCTCACAGTCTACTATACCACAAGCTACTCAACTCACCAGCCCTCACAGCCTACTATACCACAAGTTACTCAACTCACCAGCACTCACAGCCTACTATACCACAAGCTAGGCAACTCACCAGCACTCACAGCCTACTATACCACAAGCTAGGCAACTCACCAGCACTCACAGCCTACTATACCACAAGCTAGGCAACTCACCAGCACTCACAGCCTACTATACCACAAGCTAGGCAACTCACCAGCACTCACAGCCTACTATACCACAAGCTAGGCAACTCACCAGCACTCACAGCCTACTATACCACAAGCTAGGCAACTCACCAGCACTCACAGCCTACTATACCACAAGCTAGGCAACTCACCAGCACTCACAGCCTACTATACCACAAGCTAGGCAACTCACCAGCACTCACTACCTACTAGAACACTAATCAACTCACCAGCACTAACAGCCTACTACACCACAAGCTACTCAACTCACCAGCACTAACAGCCTACTACACCACAAGCTACTCAACTCACCAGCACTAACAGCCTACTACACCACAAGCTACTCAACTCACCAGCACTAACAGCCTACTACACCACAAGCTACGCAACTCACCAGCACTCACAGCCTACTATACCACAAGCTACTTAATTCACCAGCACTCACAGCCTACTATACCACAAGCTAGGCAACTCACCAGCACTCACTACCTACTAGAACACTAATCAAGTCACCAGCACTAACAGCCTACTACACCACAAGCTACTCAACTCACCAGCACTAACAGCCTACTACACCACAAGCTACGCAACTCACCAGCACTCACAGCCTACTATACCACAAGCTACTTAACTCACCAGCACTCACAGCCTACTATACCACAAGCTAGGCAACTCACCAGCACTCACTACCTACTAGAACACTAATCAACTCACCAGCACTAACAGCCTACTACACCACAAGCTACTCAACTCACCAGCACTAACAGCCTACTACACCACAAGCTACGCAACTCACCAGCACTCACAGCCTACTATACCACAAGCTACTTAACTCACCAGCACTCACAGCCTACTATACCACAAGCTAGGCAACTCACCAGCACTCACTACCTACTAGAACACTAATCAACTCACCAGCACTAACAGCCTACTACACAACAAGCTACTCAACTCACCAGCACTAACAGCCTACTACACCACAAGCTACGCAACTCACCAGCACTCACAGCCTACTATACCACAAGCTACTCAACTCACCAGCACTAACAGCCTACTACACCACAAGCTACTCAACTCACCAGCACTAACAGCCTACTACACCACAAGCTACTCAACTCACCAGCACTAACAGCCTACTACACCACAAGTTACTCAACTCACCAGCACTAACAGCCTACTACACCACAAGCTACTCAACTCACCAGCACTAACAGCCTACTACACCAC